GGAATACAAAATGTAAACTCGTATGACAAATAAATGACAAATCTAATCAAATATTTCAACATTAATATTATTATATTTTTATAAATTAAAAATGCAACTTTTGCAATGTTGTAAAAGGTTAATTAAATATTAGCTACATTAAATATTAGCTAATAATGTAATAAAGGATTTAAATTAGAACTTTAAATTTTCACACACACAAGCTATCATTTGTTGCAATTTTTTAATTCGGCATATTTGAGTAATTAGATTTCAAGTTAAAATTCTGAGAAAAAGAATCCATATAATTTAATGAAATTTTTCCCTTAAAAATATGTTGAGACAATAGATTTAGAATGATTAAAAAAAGATTTTTTGAAAATTAAACTTTGGAGCTGTTAACTATTCTGTATAAGTAGCAAGAAATTTGTGAAATTTTTTGAGTTTTAATTATTTCAAAAGTTGTTGGTACTTTGATATCCTGATTAAGGAGAGATTAATTTTAACCAATCATTCAAATCGTTATCTTTTCAATGCAAAAAGAAAGAAGTTTTGAAAAAAATATATCAAACAAAACCTAAAATAAATGAAAGAAAAGTAGGCGACTAACTGGCTGAAATATGCTAACTAAAATTCGCTAGAAGCGAAGCAGAGAACATATACATATGCTTTGACTAATATAGGTCAACAGACTTGAGCTGCAACGTATGTTTGTATAACAACTCTCCAAAAACGGCAACAATTTTTTAATATTTTTTATGTATTTTAATAAATTGAAATATCGATAACGTGTCACAATACGATTTATTATTTTATTTATAATTTTAGCAGTTCCAATTAGAAAGGAAAAAATACGAATCGCACAGTTTGTTATATTAAAATGTCATACATATGTACGTCAACTTTTGTGCAAGATTGTCATTTTAATTTTTCGAAGTTAAAAATTAATTTGGAAATTACTATATGCGCTTTATTATGTTGTTTACAGGAAAGAGAAGATACAAACTAAAATTTCACAGTAACGTAGACGTTTATTTTTCTTTCGCCATGCTGAAGCAAGCAACAGTCACTTTTCTATTTATAACACCAACCGCGCTAACCACCATCCGCCGAGTCTATTATCGCGTATAAATATGGAGCACATAAAAGAATGCCGATATGATGCACGGAACGCTTGAAAAGATTGTAAGGAAAAAATAGGGCTGGAAATCATTGATCCATCCTGTCGGCGCAAATGCAAAATCGCATGCACACACGAGCGGAAATTACGTAATCTTTTATGACAGCAACATTTTCTTGATTAATTAGCTTTGCGTTGATTGCTTTTCCCTCTCTCTCTCTCTCTCTCCTCTCTCTCTCTCTCTCTCTCTCTATATATATATATATATATATATATGTGTATGTATTATATATAATTGGATTTATTCTCACCATAATTTACATATTACTTTTCATCCCTTTGAAGTTTCGTTATCACTCGAGTTTAACGCGACAGAGAATGTAGACAATCGCCCAACTTTTATTATTCGCAATTTTAATACCTTTAAACCTTGAACAGTTAAAACGTTTGACAGAGGCCGGAGCTTTCATTTAATTTTCACAATTAGGTACGTCCGTCGCTGCGCGGAATTACGATTAAGCACGATTGAGCTTTATGTGCATCTCTTCCTAAGATACTTCAGAATTGATATAAATTTAAATGTTGAATACAGAAAGATCTATAAACGGAACAACACAGTTTTTTTTACTATTACGAGGTCAGTGTATGCATAATTCAGATAATTAGAGATGCAGATTTATGCAATGTTGTGTTATGCAACGCGCAAAACGCTCGTCATTCGCAAAAGTGGAGGGAGAAAAGTCGTCGAACTTGTCGCGTGTGTGTCTCGCGAGCTTTCTTGAAATAGCGAGACGGTCACAAGATGAATGGCCGCAATGCGATCGCTTTTAAGAGATTGCAAGGTGCGTATCACCAACGAGATCGTTTCGCGCGACCACAAAAACTATGTCCTTGGTTAATAATCCTCCGTCAACAAATTCATCACTTGTATATTAATGGGGTTTTCTAACATCACCGTGATGCTGCATAATCTAGCTGATTTGCTGAAGGAAGATGAATTCCATCCGACAGAAATAATGTCTGATCATCCATGTATAAATGTGGATGAAAAGCGATACCTCTCAATATTTTATCAAAATTCTGCACAGGAAGAAAAATCATTTTCGTATATTTTCTGATTTTTATGTATTTATATTTAATAAACAGAAAATTCAAATATACGCGTTCTATTACTTTTTAAAAAACTTTAATTATTTTTATATAGAAAATATAAATAATAATTTCTCTCTCTTTCTCTCTCATAAATGGCAATATTCCAATATCTCTACTGAAATATGACATACGATATTAATATTGGAAAATGCTTCATTTTACCATCTTAAAAAGTTTTATTAAACTCTTCAAAATGCAAACTTTGAAATATTTATAAGTAATATCATCATCATCATCATCATCATCATCATCATTCGATCGCAAATCGTGAGTACTTTACCGTATGCAGAGTGCAGTTGCAATTTGCATGTAAGCAAATGCATGTGTACGACGTAAATATAACTTCAAGTGACTTATATCTCATCAGTATCTAAGATTTACAATCGCGTGATGTGGACACCAGCTTGCTTCACATACGTTAATATATTAATCATTATAAGAAAAATCAAGTAGCATTGGACAGGCCATTATTTCCCGAAACGCGTCAGTTTTCGGTGATATATGAACGTCAAATGATCCGAATGACGGATGGATTTTCGAGAATAGATCCCTTTATATATTGTATATCGAGAAGTCTCTATAAATATCCTGACAAATATTTCAAATTTGTTGAAAAATCTGTTAAATTTGCATACAATTTTTAACCTAAAATTTAAATATATTTAATTCTGCCTTGTTTTAAAAATACTTTTAATTTAAATATATTTAATTGCTTTGTTTCAAAGATGAAATTATTAAATTGCATCGACATTTATGCAATTGAATTGTTATTTTATGAATAAAACAAATATTCAAATAAATATTAAAATCTATTTGGAATAATATTAATTATTATTAATCTTATTTTAAATAGGTATATTTTGCCTTTAGAATATTTCTTTTGCTTTTTTTATAAACGTTTATTTTAGTTTATTATAAGAAGAAATATTTCGATCATCTGTGTACACATATTCTCTTTTTTATGATAGTAAAACAAAGATTTCCGACCCACACATTCAAGTGTTTTTTTTTTTTTTTTATTATTCTTGTTGTGTATATAAAAAGATATCATCTATTTAGCTTTAGTCAGACGTCACGTTTCACGTAAATCATACTCAGGCAATTACGTGCATTACACTTCTGTCGACACTAAAATAGAATTCATAGAATTGACATTTCGAAACCCAATTTCTAAAAAGTTAAACTCCTATTTCCTTCTGTAAATAAGATTGAGAAATTATAAAATGTAATTTTTTAGAAATATTATATACCGTATTTATACCGTATTCGCAGGATTATTCGTGTTGCTTGACAGATAATAATGACGCGACAAAGAATAACGATTTTTTGTTCTATAGAATATAAAGCTTTGCTTTATCAAGCATGGCAAAATGCTCGCATGCTCGTAAAAGACTTAAAAGGAAAAATCGAACTATTCTTCGCCCGATGAAAATATTTTTCACGACACGTAAGTCATTGAATTCAAGGCGTGTTCGTGGTCGGATCTTGATATTGAAAAATTGCAAAGTAAAGATATGTAATTAAAGTATAAAAATAAAGCGGAATATATACATTATATATATACATATATAATATATTATAATAATTATAAAATATAATATATTATTATAATATTCATATATTATAAATTCAAAATGTATATACATATATGTAGAATTAAATAATTTTTAGATTTATTTTTACTCTATCATATATATGTTATATATATACAAAAAAAAATCACTATGATGCAAACGCTGCAATTTCTAAATTTGAAACTTACAATCCAACTGTAACTGTTATATCAACTGCAATTACCTATTGACCTCATTGTCGCTGTTATTTCAGGTGGATTTCAGAGCTCGATTAGATTCATATTCATCATCGTTAAATCATAAACTCATTGATGCATCGCGAATTTCTCTCGAATTTCTCGTCTTGAGAACGAAAACATTCTCTCCTGATTTTACGCCGCTGCGAGCTGTAGCAGCAGAACACGCTCGCAGCGGAAACCGCCCTATAAAGCCGACCCAATGTAAACCGCAAGCCACATTTGTTGCTCGCAAGCTCGCGGCTGCTGAGAGAGCCGGACCGGCACGGCGAGGCTTTGTCTGTTGTATTTTCGTTGGCACGGTACCGGTGCCGCAGCGGTGCACCGCGGCCACGCAATCCGGAAAGGTCAGCCAGCGTCATTACGTACCCGCGACTCGTAGAAGACACGCGTGCGAATTGCTTGGATTTGTACCGGGTCTTTTATCGGCTGCGATACTTTAATCGGTCACGCGAGCTTTTTCGGGACGCGAAATGCGTGCTATTCTGCTTCGAGAGAATAAACTGACTCTGACGTGAGTGCTGTGTGCGCGAAACACGAATAGACTGTAATTAAAATCTTTTCAGACAAACATGATTAATATTATATAAATAAAAAAGTTTGCACATTGCGCACGCTGCGGATGAGGTGCATTTATGAATGTTGAAAATATATGCAAATTAAATAATATTTTAATCGATTTTTCAAACAAACGCAGCAAATTGGATTTTTAAATTTAAAATTTGTTAGATTCGTGGCACGAGGGATGCATTTTATATTTAATCTGCGCTATCATTTTTTAAATATTTGAAACAAATTATTTAGAATAATTTTAAGCAAAAATTCAACATCATTGTATTCATATCATTATATCTATGTTGCGTTACGATATTAAAAAATGTATTTTTGTATCAAAATATAAAATTCGCAAATTAACAATTTGTTTTTGTTTTATTATAGCTGCCATCTAAGATGAGCTCATAAACGGACCATCATCGGAAAATAACATCAGATACAAATAAAATGCACGGCTGAATAATGAACCGTGAAACAGTGATCTCGCGCTATCATTGTTATGATATAGTTCGAGGGGTAGGATGCAGTATGGCAAAGGAGGATAGAAGATACGGAACGCTCGAAAAGATACAGGTAATAAAATATCTTTATAAACGTGTTGCATGGAGACTCTATCAAAATTGATCCATCTCCTTTAAAGATATATTTTAAAATTTTTTATCGATTACGTGCAAAATATAAAGCAAAGCGTGATCGCCTAGAATATTGTAAATTGAAGAATTAATATCTTTTGTCGTGTAACTTAAAATTCCACGGAACTTTAATTGAATTTTACTACTTTTTATGTAATGTTTTTTTCTTAAAAGAAATGAATTAGAATTTAGTTAAATGCACAGATTACTGGCATTTCGCTTTGGCATCGTAAAAACGCACGGCTACAATAAGAAACAGAAGTGGAGACGGAAACGTGTGCGGAAGGATACGCGGTCCATATCCGGCCCGCCATCCTGGCGGCATGGTCCTTTGGGCCACAATACTATTCCTCCAAGGAGCTGGATTCGTAGGTAAATGAAAAGTTGCACGATTACGTATAATTCATAGATTAAATAATTAATAGAAAATAAAGAGATTTTTTTACGAGAGATTCGATGTATTATATATGTGCGATAATTGATGTACTAAATCTTGTATAGGTAGATAATGACATTTAATTCTTTATTTGGTTTCAAAAGAGCTTTAACGTAAAATTTTTATTTTAATTAAAATATTTGAAACTGAATGTTAAAAATTTATTAGAAAAGATGACATTTTGGTTTAAAAAAAAACCCTGCTTGAACGAAGAGGAATAATAATATTTGTTTTGAAACTCAACGTCTCTAAAGTGAATATATTGTCAAATAACGGATATATTCCGTGTTTACAGGCTCGGTGACAGGCATTCCCGGTGTCCCGGAAAACATAACGGTGATGTTCCTGAATCCGACATCTGTACGCGTCTCTTGGAGCACCAGCCAGGTTGAGCAGGTCGAAAAATACGACGTCACATACAAGCCGACCGACGCCAGGTGCGTTCAAACGATTCCGATATTGCGATCCCGCGGAAAAAGATTCAAATCTCGCGATGCACAAACAATATTAAAAAAAAGTACCAATTTCACATTCTATCCTTCCGGTATATCTTTCGAGAGAAAGAAAAATTGAAAACTTTTAAAATGAATTTTCCATGAAATATATGTACATATGCTGAATTTTTTTTTTGTAATAAATTACTTGTCTTCGTAAAAGTTTTTAGTTTCATTTTAGCTATCGTTCTTTGTAGGTCACATACGGATATGATTCAAGAAAGGTATGATTCGTCAGATGATATTGATGTTTAACACAAGAAAGACCTGGTCTACAATAGAGTCGTAATTCGTAAGTCGTAAGAAATTGACCAATCACAGTTGACTTTTCTTGAAATAATCAACTGTGATTTGAATTACGACTCTATTGTAGATCAGGCCAAAGAGTTTTGTTTACTCATAAATTGAAGAAATAATCTTGAAATTAAATTATTAGATGTTTATTCCATATTTTACGCACGCGCGCGTACGATAATTGAGAGATTAAAAAATAATATAAATTATTCTGTCTTTCTCGATCCCCTTTGATCTATCTACGTATGTACATCTCTTTCTAACTTTTATTTTTTTCATACATTACATGACATATAATTGAAACACTGACATAGTTACATGTTCACGAATTGCGACAAAATGCCGCAATGCAGACATTTAGGCTTATCGAATCTGGTATATACAATATATATATATATATATATACGTAAAAAGTTTTAACAATTATATATATGTATATAAAATATGGTATGTGCTAGATATACCAACCCTTATTATTAGAAAAGGATTGAAAGGATAGCGCGAGCAGGGTCGAGTTGTGCGTGATGCACGTGTGCCTGTGATCTCATGTATGTCGCATTTAATGCAAAAGCCTATTACACGTCATTGGTATTTCCTTTGATTATCGTTTAAATATAACTGCATATATTTCTTATCATTCAAAAGCTAAAATATGGAAGTAGCATATAAATTATAAATTATTGAATTAAAATTTTATACATGGGTAGACACGTGTGGGATATTCATAATATCGTATAATTCTTATGTAGGTAAATATCAACACGTAGTATTTTTTATTTTTTTAAATCGTCATTCAGGTATATCTTTATTTACTTTAAAATTTTCTTAATTTAAAGATTTATAGTTAATAACTATTAAAGATATTTAGTTTAAATACGGGTGGAATATTGGACTTAACAATTCGTTATCTAATTTTATAATAGAGAAAAAACTGCATAGAATTAGCACTAAAGTTCAATATTAAATAAATATACGTTAGAGCGTGAGTAAAGATATAATTTCGTTACGAAAAGTATAGTTAATTAACTAAATTATACATTCACGATAACAGATAAAAAATAAATGAATCCAATATAACAAAATAATGAAAGTAAAGCGATATTTATACGCCTCCGTTAAAGGATTTGATGTAACATCATACGCGATATATTTGATCGGAACGGAAAAAACAACTACACAACACGAAATAAATTCTACCCCACAATCCATTTGCTTCCTTTCCGCGTCGACAGACGCATTTGTAACGTTTGGATAAATCACACCGTGATGATAGATTTGGACCAGTTACGGATTTATAGAAAAGAATGGACGAAATAGTGACATTATCAATAGATAGTGCAGAATAACATCCAAATTGATTGAAAGAGGACTCAATATTAATTGAGATTTTCACCTCTTTTTGCGGCACAGGAATAATGATCACAGGTATATCATACTTTTTCTTCAAACGACATGTTTCTTATGCTTATAATCCGTGAATGTTCGCCAGAAACGTCATATTTTCCCGATATGCATATATGTATAGAGTATAATGCTATTTAATAATGTTACTTAATATATTAAGACACTTTTAAATATTAAATATTTTGTATAATATTTTAATTTTAGATCATAATCTATTTTCATATCTTTTGCTCATTTTAATTTTTAATCTAGGGAGTTTCATATTTTTTGTAGTAACATCAATCTAAAAGATTGCTATATAAAATTTTTTACATTTATTCATCGGTAAAATTATCATTAAAATATGTCCAATTAAATAAAATGTGCATTTATTTAACGATATTTACTGTAATCGTGAATTGAGTTTCTCGAATTTCACAAAATAGCATGCTATTTAAGACAGATATTAATAAACCGTATTGGAACTGAAAACGGATAAAACGAATTATTGTAATAAAATTTTCATCAAGGGTAAAATATATATATCACAGAAAATTTTTTCAATTAATATAAGTATTATACATATATAATGAAAATTTTAGTAATACAATATTACATAATTTTATATTAGGTGCTAATCAAACTGTTAACGATCAAATTAAAATAACACATAATGTAATAAATAATGGCAAATAATACTGTTCAATGTGCACTTGTATAAAGGATTAAAAATAAAAGTCGATAGTATTATATCTATCGTTATATTTATAATATTTTTTAATTAGGCGAAATACTTATATATGAACATTCACGAATTAATAATTATATATCAAAGTAATATATTTTATTATCTACAAATATATATATACAATATTATTATCTACAAATAGAATTCCATCTCCTACAGCCTGCAGATATGTAGATTATTTTTAAACTTATTGAATTTATATATCAAATTTTAGAGTAACAAAGATAGTTAAATAATATTAAGAATATTTTAAATGTATTGATAAAAAAGTTTAATTAAAATTTAAATAACTTTAAAAATATATAATACAAAATAATATTAAAGTTATAACATTAGAATAAATTAATATTGTAATATTTGTAATATGTAGCAATATAAATAGCAATATAAAAAACCTTAAGACAAGAAAAAAAATTAAAGCAACATCAATTATCGTAAAATAAGAATATCACAAAAGTACTAACAAAATCATAAAAAAAATATTGCACAAACTTTGAAAAATACTTATTTTATATTTTAAAATTAAAAAATATTCTAAAGTTATCTTTTGTACACAAAATAATTCATGTAAAAAAGTTTTTTTTTTTTTTTTTTTTTTTTTTTTAGTTAAAACAGGATAACGAAGAAATCGCTTTTTATGATATTTTAAAAATTTGTTGGATCTCCTCAATTTTAAATCGAATATGTAATATAATAAAAAATTGGTACACTATATAGGTAAATTTAATTAGCAAGTATATATCGTAAACATGTCGTTTTTTTATATTAATTATATTGTTAATTTTCAAATTATTCTGTTTCTGTTGTTATTTCTTGAAGTTACAAAATTATTGTACTAATTTGTCATGGATCATATCCATAGTGTAATAATTAAAATATATATATTTATATAAGAATAACATTGATATTAATATAATTTATACATACATGTTTTACACAAATATGTAGATAATAATGAGTGATATATTACATTTATGAGATTAGAGGTGACAATATATTGAGAAGATTATCGAGTGAATTTAAATAAAATATATATAGAACTCGTGTGTGTAAATCATAACGTATATACAACTCGTGCGAATCATAACTGAAAAACGTCAAAATTCGGACAGTCCAGAATATCGGAACGCGGAATATCGAATAAACCACGCGAAAAATATTTACAGTCAATATTTTTTTTTAATATAAAAGAAAAACCGAATTTTCTGGTAAAATAAATAGTGAAAATTTCAACTGCATGTCGTTATTTATTACTATTTTTTAATATTTAATATTACGTATCGGAACGAGTATATCAATATTATTTACCATTTTTTATAAAACAGAGTTTATTTAATTTAGGTAATCTTTATCTAGCAAAAAACAAAATTTTATTTTTTTTAACATTTGCGCAGTTATTTTTATTTTCACTCCTATAGAAAACTTTACTTGCAAATATTTGCAGAGTGATTGATTTAATCAACATCGATTCAAAAAGTATCAATGTTTCTTTTTAAAAAAATCGATAAAAAATATATATATTTAATGAGAGGTATCCTGTGCGCTAGTTTATCATGAAACGTGAGCATGCACAGGTCGAATGACCCATTGCGTCGTCCGTTTAAATATGATACTAGAGAAATAAGAGTACAATCTCTTGTAAAAATGCATAGCATCGATCTTTTACGTGATAAGACGTTCTAGTGCTATGGTTGCGTTATATAAAATTCATTGCATGTGTTTAGACTAGTCAGATTACGGCTTTATGTAACAAGGAAAACATACAAGAGGGCATATTAAATGGGTTAATTGGAATTAGCTAAAGAACACTTGCTGTAAAAGCAGCTCAAGATTTTATTTCCATTCAACTTTTAATCGAACTACTTATTTCTGCTTTACATTTTGTTTATTTTGGAAGAATTTTTTATTATTCTCAACAGCATCAATAGCGAAATGCATATACCTGTATGCTGCATCAGATCCGCATTTTGTGTAAAGAATGTAATTTATAATCTTTAGTAGGGATTTATAAAAATAGAGAACTTTAAAATGGTTCGAACTTTAGGTAAAATTGTAATAGAATAAACCTGTTTCGAAAATAGAGCAACTAAAAAAGATACGTTAATTGAGCGACTATGAAATCATGAAAATATATAATACTTTATAATTTTATACATTATAAACGCGTCTTTTAAATAAAATAAGTAAAATCTGAATTGAAATTCTTTGTATCTTTTTTTAATTTATAGATTTTAATTTACATTTGTACGTGTAATATGTATATTAAAGACAATGCTTATCAAAAGTTTAATCTAAGTAATTTAATTCATTCTAGTTTAAGGCAACGCGCGCGTGAATCTACAATCTACACAATTTACAATTTACAACTACAATCTATAATTTCGTTACCTTAAAATTAAATAAAATATCTCACTCACCGACGCTGATGCAGAACGGCGAAGTAGTTGATGTTCAAGCTACGCATTGTCTGTAACATACAAATATCAAATCTAAATTATAGCAGCATTTAAATTAATTACTATTTCAAAAAATTATTATTGTACGCGCCAAACTTTATATACCATTAAAGCATAAGGTATATTTGGTGCATAATAATAATAAACTGTATATAAAATATCAAATAATTTTATAAATTTAAAAAGAACAATTTTTTAACTGAAAACTTTTTATAGGATTTATATAATTATAAATATCTATATAATTTCTGAAAAATTTATATAATATCTCTAAGTATCTCTTGTTTAAATTATTCAAATAAATTAACTGAATTAATGATTTATAATCATTAGTATACAAATAAAGATATACTCACCGTAGGGTTGCTCTGCCGGTGCCCGATGCCTCTTCTGGGCCTCCTCCTCCTCTCAGGACGTTAGGGTCGTCAAAGTTGACACACGCGATACTTTTAACGGCACTCCCGCACTCGCGATATTTTTAACGGCACTCCCGCACTCGTACGCGCTATACACTTAACGGCACTCCCGAATTTATGTTATCTGTAACATACAAACATACAATCTAAATTATAGCAGTGTTCAAATTAATTATTATTTCAAAAAATATTATTGGACGCGCCGAACTTTATAGCCTATGTTACGCAAAAAGATCTAATAAGCTATCCATCAGTGAAAAATTTTAAGAGCTTAGAACGCTTTTTTACATAAAAGAAGTAGATATCTTAAATATAATTTAAATATTGTTGTGTGTTGAAATTTTTGTTAGCTTTCTCCAATTGTAAAATTATTTTCGATATTATTTCTATTAATCGCATTCAACGATTTTTTTATCTACATCTAAAATATATATAAATAAATATACATAATACAAAAATGCATTATATTTACAATTACGATTTTGATAATAATACATCTATTCTATGCAACAAAAAAAAACTTTATCAAATATCGACATTTCATTAGATTATTTTAATAATCTTTCGATCTTTCACGCTTTAATGGTATATGTAAATCAAACTGATTATCAGTTCGCAACATGACGATGGTCTTTCGAGTGGAATCTATCAAACCGTAGCAACGATAAATCGAAGCACTTCAATAACCGTTATTTCAATGCTTATCATGATGCAGCTATTATAATGCGATTCTATTGCCCTATGCCCTATGCTATTAAGGCTTCTCAAAAATGTCGATCGACTTATACACAACCGCAACATATCGAAATTCAATAATCTTCTGATTAAATTACAATATTCGCTTCACAGAATTCCAATCATCAGATGTTTCTAATTTTTCTTTTCTTTTACACTTTTATACATCAGTTATGCAGCTACAATTTATCGATTGACAAACTGTCAATTAACAAATATTAAACTTGTATATTAATCAAAATAATTATAAACTACTATTCAATTAGTGTTTTTTATAAACTTTTTACGAAATTAATATATCTATAATAAATCTTTAATTTAAATTAAATTAATACATAAAGCTAGATTTTCTTCTTTAAAAATACATTGATAAAATATATATTATAATGTGTGTGCAATTAATTTCACTATCATAAAACATAAAAATTTTATAATAATGATAAATTAATAATCACACATACGCATGATAAAAATAAATAAAAATAAATGTGAAATATTCAAAATAACTATAAGTATAGGTACTTATGGATAAGATTAATGTAAATAAAAATATTAGTGTGCATATAAATAATCGTTATTAAAGTATATACATATATGATTAACTTTGTAATTATGAATTTTGTCGCTTCTGTGCTTATAATTTTTGTTGTCATCTGGCTGATCGATTTCTATTTGCTTCTGTCGTTTCAGTCTTCAGCGAAACGACTGTGAGAGCGCATACAAACTTTATATTTTTCATAGCATATTAATGTAAAAGAGAACTTGTATGATTAAAGATGATTATGATCAATAGTCGAAAGTTTTAATAAAAGGAATATCAGTGTTTTACATTGACTTTAATGAAAATTAGTTGTTCTTCGAACAAAGTATTATAACGAACGTATTGTAACGAAGTAATTTAATTAGTACATTCCTAGTTTTATAAAAAAATAGCTGTTAATTCTCTTTTGTAATCGATTGCAACCATTTACATATCTTCTAAATCATTTGATTATAAGAGAAAATTGCTTCCGATAACATGTGCGTTGTAATAATTTAATTTGCTATTATATGCCTTTCCCATTATGTGGACATTTAATGGTAATCTTAATAATAATTATTCCTGAAAATATAAAAGGGTAAGAAAAAAACTTCGATAACCGGTTTACACTTGGAATATTTCCGTGGGACGATCTCAATCGGGATCTTATGCGTAAGTGATCGTAAGCGTAAAATATCGAATCATAACGGCAAGGTGGTTAGTTACAGGGTGGTGGCGGTGGTCGCAGGAAATAGCGAAGCGGTGACCTTGAGCAACCTTCGAGCTGATACACAATATCAGTTGGTCGTAACTGCCGTGAAGGCTGGAAGGAAGTTTCGAAGTCGACCGATCGTCTTCCGCACACTCGGTAAGCTTTGCCTTCCTAAGCTTTACCTGTCTCCGGCATCACGGTCACACGTGACAGGTGCGTTTCTGATAAAGAGAAATATTTCTCTAGTAATCTGTGTAGTAAATCGTAAACGTCCGTCACGATGCTTCCGTAGTTCTTTATTATTATTCCGTAGTTATTTATTATTTATTTAATTTTTTAACAAAACAAACCGCTGCGAGCCACACCGTATTTCGGAATAGTTTTGTTTGCGTTCTATAATATAATATAATAAATATTATATCTGCTTTTTATCTGTTCTATTTCTTTCACCATAGAATATCTTTTAATAGTTTAACAGTTTGTGTGTGTGAAAATATATTTAAATAAAGGTGTTTTTTGTAGAGTAAAAATTAAAGAAATTCGATTATTTAAATTGAAAATATATAGGTACAAAGCAATTAATTTTGAAAACGGTTTCTTAAATTTTCTTGGCGATTCAGTATATTACGAATATTCAATTTTGGCTTATAGCTCACGGTTAGCTTCGCAAAATTGAAAGGTTTTAATGCAATACGATTTGCAATCCCGTATTTTACGTAGAATATCTATATATAACGGATCTCTTTATAGTATAGTAAAAATATTCGGCAACGGGACTTTTATTTAATCCATTTAATCTTACAGTTTTATTTTATGAAATATCGAGACCACAATATCGTGCGGAATATAAATTCCAATTGCGGAGATAATTCTTTTCTCGAAAATCCATTTTTCCTGTTTGCCTAAATCAGTTTAATGATTTTAACGCGTTAATTAAATACATATATATAGTACATAGAAACTATTTAAGAGAAGTTTTTATCAGTTATTTTCCGACGTAACGTTATGCGACGTAAATCATGTAAAATCCCACAGCGATGATATATGCGACGCGATCTGACACGAAGTGATTATCGTGTAAACAAGCTTGTATCGTTTTCAGAGCCACCACGCACGTCTCCTCAGCAAGATGCAGCGGTAACTGGTGGTCCTCTTCCTCCACCTCCACCGTCCTCACAACAACCTCAACCATATATACAAGTAAGCTACTTTTTTCTTAAACAATTAGCACAATTTAATGTTCAAAGTTTGTTCTCGCGTTGAAAATATTTATATCCAGTATTGAGTAAATGAGCAATATGCTGATTCATTTATAATGATTTATAACAGCAAACACAGTTTGAGAAATTTTGCTTAACCTAGATTCGGATATAAACGCGACTGGCGATCGAAAGTTTTCTTAAATATCACATGAAATCGAAGGCAATATAATATGTGCTTTGAGGAAAAATCAATTTATCACTTCATAGAATGTCATACCGAGAAGTATCGAAATAAAAGAATATGGAAGAAAAAGGTGATTGAATAAAGCGACGTTTCTTTTATTTCTACTTCAGTATTTCGCTGCGTTCTTCGATTCTTTCTAAGAACGTTTAAAATAAATTTAAAAAATTGTCTAGCTTTTCGCGTATTTTCCGCATAAGCGGATAATTTATAATTTAAAATAATTTTGTGCAAAATGGATTTTACATCAACTTCTAGAACTTGTATGTATGTGTGCATAGTCTTCGATGAAATCAATAATGCAAAGCGTTACTTGGGAAGAAGAATAGATAGAGAATTTATCGTCTAGTGGGATATAAGATCATTTTATGAGCACCAAATGCGTAAAGAGAAGACTAGAATATGACCGCGAAACTTTATCAAACTTAATTAAAAGGAGTCGTAAAGCTTCTGCGTGAAGAAGCGTATGTCTCCAAATGATATTTATCTTCTTAATTAAAATGCTCGATGGAAATAACAAGTAACACTGATCTTACTCGACGAATTCCTTAATAAACGCAAATATGCCGGAAAACATGAAAAGGTATACGTGTAAGAAAACATGATTATTGCAACAATCTGCCAAAGATCTTGATACCGCGAATTAATCGAAACGACTTGTGCGACTTGTGCTCCGTTTGCAGATCCGCGGCGTCGAGGTGGGCATAGTAGTGTTAGTGCTCATAGTTTGGGCGGGCGCGATAGCGCTGTTCTTCAATCGCTGGGGCAAGATCCGGATGCTGCTGCCTTATCAGCCCGACTACAAGGAGCAATTGAAGGTGCCAGGCACGGGAGTGTGCGCGTCCGCGAGCGCCGGGTATACGCAACACCCGACGCAACACGCGTGTTCTCAGGTAACGCATAGGTATACTGCGTCCGATAAGATGCAACGAGCCTTTCTGTGTTCTGTTGTATATAATATAAGCCGCGCCCAGGTAACGTTCGAAACTCGACAAATCTGGCTGATTCATCTATTATTATGCTCGATAGACGAAAGAAAAAGAAAGTTAGACATTTTCTTTTGCTGCGCTAACAATTATTTTTAAAATGGATATTTTTTATAGACAAATATTTTTTATTTCAAATATTTTAGAGAATACGCATCTTTAGAGAAACGCATCTTCGCAATCAAGAATTTATTAACAAATTTATTTAGAAATTGAAGATTTTGAAATATGCTCTATTGATTTTATATATATATATATATATATATATATATATATATATATATATATAAAATCATATATATATATATATATATATATATATATATACACATATATATAAAGTTTCACTGTGTGAAATAATCAAAATTTATTGTTTTTATGCAAAAAATCAAATATAATTTTCTTTTAGATTTTTCAATATTGTCATATAATCAACTAAAAAAATCAGTATCTTCTAATACGAGGGTCTTTTTGAACTTTCTGTCGATTTGAAATCGTGTGATGTAGATATAAATGCTTAATAAAATATAGGAAGGAAAATATAATCGGAGATATAGTCTAATCAATTTGGGTTGATTTTTCAATTTAAATATTGAAGGTGAAAAATCATCTGATCGTCATATTTATGCGAAACGCAAATGTTTGCATGGATATATATAAGTTTTCGATTTACGAGATCGAATCGAACTGACGTCAAATGTCTGATATTCATTCTCTCGAAAATTTGAAATCCGCGTGATATTGGCACTTTATTATGACGTATAAGATTGCTGCGATGTGCATACGCAATCTTCATAGGATGGGACTTTGAGTATTACGCAATGTAAAATGTAAGCGAACATTACAATCATCGGGAGCACAAAATTCGAGTAATGCCGACACACGGGCGGAAACACGCGGACGTAAAGGCGCAAATGTAATGGTGCTACCGTATGTTATTAGCATGCCACGAATTCTGGTTCATTCACAAGACCATAGTCGTATTCGTGCAACCGCATTTCAACCATATATGCATTACGTGATATGGGAATTGCCCGCGAGAAAACATCTTCTAAATTCTTAACCGAATTTTTATCTATTTAAGCAGCGGAAGTAGTGTTCAAAAATAATTAATTTCAAGTTTCAACGAACCGAAAATTGCAAAACTTAAATATTAAGTCATTAATAATAATCTCTTTAATATAGTAAAAATTAGAACATTTTTGCGAATTAATTTTCAAATGTAAATAAATTATAAATTTATTTAAATTATAAACTTTATTAATATTAAGTCTTAATCAAAAAGACTTTGTCGTAACTCAACTTTAACTTGAATTATAATTATTGAAAAATAATTTATATTAATTAACATTTACCAGAGGAACTCAATTCGCGGAAATTTATCGTCAAAATATACACTTATATTAATTATTTAAATGCTAAATTTTATTCATGCATTATTCAATCACATTGCTATCGCATGTATAAGTCACAAAATTTTACAAATGCATATATTATTTTAAAAATCTAAAATATTTTGTTTTATGATATATTATATAATATAGTAAAAGTAAGGCTTCTCTTTGAAATGCTTTAATAGATAAAACATCAAATAAATTTAATTTTATATTATTTATATATAATTTATATATATTATATTTATATTATATTTAAAACAGTTTTTCTCAAAAATTAAATTTATCTGTAATATGAGCATTACAATTAATATGGTTGTAGATTGCATTTAATTAGTACGGCTTATTGTTAGTACAATAAGTCAATAGCAAACTGCTAACGGGTCTAGTTTATCCACTATTAAACTAACCATTTGAGGTCTGCGAACCAGCTTCATGTAAAGCTGTTTTGTCCGGTTTGTGCGATTACCCGATTCACTGCAAATTGTTTGTTTCGCGCAACAAAAGAGCTTTTGCTCGGGTCGAGTTTGACGTCACGGTAAAATTACGAATTGGATTCAAGATGGGGTAATTAATTAAAACGTCGCCGGCAATTCAATATTGCTAGCTATAATAATCTGCATACTTATTTCGGGAATGAAAAAAGAGAACTCATAACAATTTTCATTCCGTATAACAAAGAGAAACTAGAGAAACTCTGGATATCGATTTGACTTCCTGCGTGAACCATCGCGATTTAATTGGCGACAGGAAATAATTGACGTGAAAAAAGAATGACCGCAACGATTTTACAGTCAGCAAAGGTTGTACCAATTATATTTTACACATCAATGTTGGAAGTTTTGATCGATTGTTTAAAACGAATGCGCAATTTTTTTTATAAACTCGATATCGTTGAAATATATATTTGTAATATTTTTTATTATTGCTTTGTACGGAAACAATTTCCAATAACATAATTTCAATGTATTGAAAAGTTTTAGAAATCCAGTCTCTTTTAACCTTGTATATGCAAATTATACGTATGCATATATATTTATAATTTTTTATATTAGACTTTAAATTTTCTTCTATAATTTTTCACAATCGTATTTTGTGAATTTAAAAGATCGTCAATATGGTTCATGTATATTGTTCTTTTGTCTAATAACTTTCGATTTAGCGCAATTTTACGAATTTTTATTTTATTAGTTCAATGATATATAAATTCAACAAGATGCGCAATTAAAATTATCCATGTATCACTGCATCGACATACTTTGCTTCTATAGAACGCGCATGTTCGTAATGAAAATTTGAACATTAGTAGGTATGAATATATTGACACTAATATGGTTAAATATATCAAGCAAATAAATATATGTAGTTTTCGTTGGTCTTAATATTAATGAATTGTTGCTGACATGTAGAGATTGCAGAGTGATCGAAAATTTGGAAGCTTCTGCAACACATGTCAAGCTTCGATGCAGTAACAGATAAATTATCGGGTGTTTAACTGTTGCCATTATATGTATAGGTCTCATCTGGCAGTCGCAGTATCGCGATTACGTAACAATGCAATTACTCGTTAATAAACGAGCCATACCTTGCTTACTATATTGGCCAGAAATCAAAATAATAATGCAATATCTCGTATATATCTCTTCTTCATATATTAAAAATTAATTTGGAATAATATATTGACGTAATTTATCGTGAGTTAATATTAGAAATAAATTGTCATAAGACTTTATTTTATAATTGTTGCTATTTTTTAATTTTGTTAAGAAAATTATTAGATATCCAATCTTTAGAAAATTATAGCCAATCAGATAATCTTGGAAAAAATTAAATTAGATTCTCGTAATTAATAAATGAGATTCGATGTTTGGTAGTTCGTGTCGAATAATGTTTAATTCTTATTTCTTTAATCACGATGCAATATTATAGAAAAGATATTTGTATTTTTTTGTGTTAAGTTTTTAATATTTTCGTAGTGATATTATCGTTTCAGCAGATTAAATCGAATTTTATGTAGAAACAACAGCAGAAAAAGATTTAATTTTTATCATTATTTTATTCTTTCATGTTATATTTTCACAAATAAATTTGTTTATCTGACTGTTTTTATTTTTTGTCTTAAAAGAAAGTAAATGTTTTGTTGTTTCAAGAGAGATTTCCACAAAGAATCTTCGTTTTATTCAAACTAACACATCCATTATTCTTTACATATATGCGGTAACATTGTACGATATATATATTAGGCTACATGGGAAAGAATTATATTCCATCAAAAATTAAAAAAGAAATGGATATTTATCTCCTAAATATTACTGAACTTTTATTCCATTTTTTCTCAAATAATAATTAATCAAATTATTTTATTTAACAGAGTAAATCGTTTGAGGATAAGAAAGTTTTAAAAATGTAAATAAAAAATATTTCAAAAATTATTCTATTTAGCCTAATATTAAAATTCATAAATGTTGCCGCGTATTTTAAAATAAATTATGCAGAGAAAAATTTATATCATCAATTTAATAATGGACATTTGAAAAATTGGTATGTAGTTAATTTATTAATTTATTCTATTTACCAAATAACTAAATAATTTATATTAAATAATATTCTTATAGAAAATTAATGCTTTGAAAAAAACAAAATAACTATTTCACACGGTGCAATTATATTCATTTACATTTTCATTTAATACGATGAAGTTATTGAATTAATTAAGCATGATGCCTTTTTATTACACAATAAAATGAAAGAAAAACAATATCAAGATTAAATTGATGATCAATAATTTTTCTTCTCATTTTTAAATCTTAAACTCAACCTCGTTAGTGTAGTAATAATCCCGTAGCAAGAATTAGACGAAATAATGCATTATATGTATCTTTAGCGTAGAAACATCCACATTTCTTAAACAGCCATTAGTCACATAGCTATAGTCCGTAAGATTAATGAATAATTCCAATTAACACAATTTAATTCTATTGATCTCTTCTGTTCCTCTCTTCTATCTCCACGTCGTTTCTTCGGATTGACTACATGAAATTCGCGAATATCTGCTGGCGCTACATGCGATTTCCGGTACTACTCTCCCACACACTGTTCTACGCTGCGTGTGTATGCCCTCCCCCGACTACCCTCTCGTGTCACATTCGGCGGATCTTACACATAACAACGGAAAAAAAAAAACGAACGAACGATAAACGACTGCTACAAAAACAAACAATGCGATACGCACAAAACGAACGAACAAAAACGACGGAAGGTAATGACCACATTGTCGGATATGGTGATGCAGTGCGGGGGCGGGGGCTGCTGCGTCCTGGAGCAGTGCTTTCAGTACCCCAGAAGAGCCCGAGAGCCCCGGGACTGCGGCTGCCAATTCGCTCTACTCCACAGGGCGGACATCGCGTGACCATCGGTACATGTCTTAAAAATCTCAATTTTATTCTTCTTGTGGCCCTACCTATACATGCTGAAGAGAAACCTCGGCTGTACCGAGGCTCTCATCCTGTCTTT